CATGCATGCATGTATGTATGTATTTATGTATGTATATGTGGATGTATATGACTATATATGTATGGATGTATGTATGTATACATGGATGTATATATATATATATTAACCCGTCGTGAACTGCCTTCCATCAGGTGCCGATGTATTCACTCTCATCTATGGTTAAGTCTCTCCTACACTGTTCTTTGACTACAATTCATCCATTCTCTTGTTATAGATTCAAATTCGGTGCTAAACCCTCAGAAGACTCGGCGCGCACGGGAAGGTACTTTCTTCGTCGTACTTCTGTTGTAGCGTTCGTTAAGTGTTGACTTCCAGATGACATAGTTGCGCTCGATTCTCATCCCAGCAGCTGAACCGAATATAAAAGTATAACCCGTTAAGTATAATTGTATTCTTCAGTGTATATTGAAATACACTCAAATCTGAACACCACGGTCAGTTCGATGCGATTTTTCATTTGTATTCGATTTATTGTGCGTGTATATTGATTCTTCGCATGCCGATGGACACAAAGCTGATGAGATCATGACTAAAGTTACACATACTATAACATATAACCGCGTATAGTAGGGATTATTCGAGTAAAATATGTATGCAAATGTAATATAATCAAGCATATTCATCTGAATACAACCCCACACAGCAGCGTATGCATGTATATGAAATCTGGTATTTGTGGGAGACATTTACCTCCTGATTTCTAAACTGAACCAACGCATCAATCGCATCAGCTACCCACCCCATCTGTCTGTTCCCATTGACAATGGTCCACCGGAGTGTAGTATCACGAGTCAAGAGGTTTATTGACTCTCAAACAGACACTCAACCCGTATTGGCTGATTGTTCTGTAGTTCTTGTTCAAGCCTTCATCAAATCATCTATCTACATTTTCCATATCCATGGAAATGGCGGGACATGTTATTTATAGCAGTCTTTTAACTCTGCCCGATATTCGGGAATATATTCTAGATCATTTGACTTGTCTTATGTATGACAATGCCACGGTATGAAATCAATCGAATTGTGTAGTCTTAGCCCGTTCTCACCATCGCCGTTGCATCTCTGCTTGACCAATCCCTCAGTGTTCCGCCACCGTTCCAATTCGGAACGCCTGCCAGCACATCGGCTACCGCACCACCCGCACCCGGACTTGCCCTGCCCTCGCCATTTGGGGCCGGTATGCCCCAAATCTCACAGAATCCCTTCGCCAAGCCTAATACACAACAGGACAGCGAAGAAGAAGATGTCGATGGGGAAGAAGAAGATATTGAGGATGATGGCGATGACCAGGATGAACCGGAGAGTGGCGCTGTGGCGGCGCCCATGGGTTTCGCGAGTACAGTGTCGAGTGCTGTGAAAAAGGAGGACGGCCCTCGAGTGGAGGAGAAGAAACCATCCGCACCCATGTTTTGTAAGTTCGTTTGTTAGCGTCTGAGGATTAAGCGTGGGTGGCGTGGTACGCTAACAATGGCGCGTATGACATCTGCAGTCGGTGAGCGCACACAATACTCACACCCACTACCAGTCCAATCTCTCTCGCTATGGCACTTGTGCGGTTGGGTGGGATGCTCCAGTCTCGCCACCAGGTTAGGAACTGTTTGCAATGTGATGGCGAGAGTGTACTGTACACATCCTCTCTAGTGCCACCTGTGTAGCATGCTCCATCGTTTAGGCACCTACATGTCCCCTCACTGTGTTGTATACTAAGTTGTTGTTCTATCGACCAACACGCTCATCCTGCCACTGCCTCGTTGTGATTTATAACGTACTTAGCATTCAAAGGAAGCGTCCCTGCTAAATCTGCGTTTCCAAGTAGCACGGCGGAGCCCAAATTTGCAGGTTTCGGCTTGCCGCCACCCAAAGCAAATGTATCAAATGGCCTGCAAACCCCACCTCCCGCATCCGATAACGTGGATACGGATAAGGTAGGCATCTATTTAACTTAATGCTGCACTTTAAACATCGTGCACTCGGTGAGAAGATCATTAAGACATATCGTAACACGGCTATAAAGGCAGTAATATACTTTGAATTGCATTCCCAGGTGTGCCCCGCCCGGCTACAATCGTGGGTGTGCCGTTTGTATCCAAAATTTTTTGTAACATAAATCCTTGGATAGCTGGTACTTCCGTGGTATCACCTTGTTTTGGCGTAGTCCTGTCCATTCGACCCGTACTTGACCACCCAGAGTATCTTTGGTCTTCGCGACATAGTCTTTGTTTTCCTGTTAAGTTGCACCAGCGCCCAACAAGGAGCCAGCAATACATTGTCTGCGGTTGTTGTCCCGTATTCACTGCGACTTTCCACGCCTGTTCCCTTGTAACTAACACTCAGACTTCTCCGCAGCCGTCTGACCAGTTTCTGGCAGATGTGTACGCCCTCAACCAGGAGCTGCTGTCCCGGATAAAGGAGGTAGCACCTGACGTTGTGGTGGACCTGACACCGCTATGTGAGGTGTGTTTCTTCTGCAGGCGTACACTGTTATGTGTGCGTGTTTTGTATGTCTGTGTCTGTGTCTGTGTATGTGTGTATGTGCATATAGGGTATATACAGCGGGTGTGGTTTGATGCGACCGATGTCGATATGTATAGTGTATGGGGTGAAAGTGGCACTCAAATGCCCTTGCGGAAGCCTAACCGGGAATGGCTATTTCTTCAAACCCCACCTTAAGCCCCGAAATTTCATATATTCCCCCTCCCCCAGTCATACTGTAAACAATACAAAGAATTACAAACCGCCGACAAGTCGTCAGCGAAGTCGCCCCCCACAGAAGCAATCGCAGCGCCGCCAATATTCGCCTCCACGTCACCCGCACCAGCGCAGGCTAATTCCAGAACAAGCTTCTTCACAAACGCCGCAGCAACGCCCATGCTGCACCCTAACATGCCCAAAGCCTTTGCATCGTCTGTAGCACCTCTACAAACTGCCAAAGCACCAGCCAGGTGAGTGGAGGCGTCATGTGAGTGTGAGAGATAGTATGGGATCACGAGTGTGTGGGTGTGATCTAACATGTCTGAGTGTCTACTTGGTCCTCAAGGTTTGGGTGTGCGGTTCAGCGGGTGGACGGATTGATTTGTGATCGTGTTTACTGTAAGCAGCAAAACTGGTCTCTAAACATGACTTTGACCATACTGCATCGAACACTTCAATAGCCCTTTGGTGCATACGCTCGCAGCTTGTAGTGTATAGCTTAAATCGGATGATTAATCTGCCAACTCTGCTGTATATGTAAGCAGCTGGTATTAATTATCATACATCGTAATATATATATATATATATATATGCATATGTATATGTATATATATATATATATATATATATATATATATGTGTGTGTGTGTGTGTGTGTGTGTGTGTGTGTGTGTGTGTGTGTGTGTGTAGTGTGTGTGTGTGTGTGGTTAGGTTAGGTTAGGTTTACGTTAGTTACTTACTTACTTATTATATACTACTACTAACTAACTTAAACTAATACTATCGT